CCGGGGCTGCCCTGGGAAGGAGGGGTTCGCCTGGTGCAGCGGCTCCAGCGCTTCCCTGGGGTGCGGTGCGGTGTCATTGGCGCTCGGAGAGGTGACTGAGCTGTCTGTACCGGGATGAGAGGCGCGCATCCTTGTCCGGGTGCCATCAGCGAGAGGTGACGCTGGAGACAGGACTCCCCGAGCTTCCCCGGCCCCGCAGGGATTGTGGCGGGTCCCGTGTCCGCTGCCCAGGGCTCGGGGCGCAGAGGAGCAGCAGGAACCGTACGACGTGGCAGAGTAGTGGATTGGGGAGTCGGGTGTGTTTCTTATCGCTGATTCCTTCAAATAACCCAGTGTTTCATTTCGCAGCTAGAAAATATCCCTAAGCACCTTAACTAGGCTTGAAAGAGGACGTGGGGTTTGCTTTGGAGTTGTTGGCAGAGACCTGTGTTTTGAAGTGATCCTCGCTAAGTTCGTTGCTCACAAAAAGTTTATGTACCTAAGGAAGATCTTGGTGCAGAGACTCCCATAGCTAGACTTTATTAAAAATTTGGAGGCAGGGTCATGGTTACATAGAGCTTGCAGTCAAAGGATTATTGATTATCTTCTTACCAAAATACGTTGTATTTTTGCAGCTTTTTCTTCCCCACTGTACACGTTTCTTGTATAAAAAGAAACTCTATATGTTTCTTATTATATTAAACTGAAAAATCTTGTAGGAAGGACCAAAGTCGTTATCTTGTTTACATGATGTATGTCTTGTCTCAGGACTGTCTGTAGTTGAGATGTCACCATCCATATGTGTACAACAGATAACACAGGACCATCTTTCAGTTTACTTGTTTGCTGCTTACTGCACACTGATTCAGGATTCAGTTGTCCTTGATATTTAAGAGACCAGTAAATTTTCCATTATATCTGATGATTTAGGCTGTATTGAAGAACTTAGATTCCTCAGCTTAGTTGTTGGCCCAGACCATGTGTTAAGTATGGTTTAGCAAAACTGGAAAGTACAGAATATAATAAAAAATAGAGTTTGATTTAAGGTATCTCCTTCTAACTTCATGTGAAGAATAATGTTGAACTATGTTACTAGCAAATTTGGTCTCTATAAATTACCTGTTTCTACTTCTTGGGTGTTCCAGGAGTTTGGGGATGTTATGTCAGTGTGGTTGCTGCAACTGAGAGAAACATCGTATTAGTTCCTGAATACTGCTATAATAGGCTGTTTTGTTGTTTAATGTATTAATAGTATAAATGTATTTTTCAGAGATTAATTAAAGTTTTAGATCACATTTACAGCAATTTTATAGTCTCGTTGTCACATTCAGCAGTCTCTGAGATGTCCGCTTCATCTATTTTCTTTTTGTCATATGTATTCTGTCGGAAATGTG